CTTGACAGTGGTTGATAAACAAGAGGCTTCAGTAAACCTAGTGTAAATGCTTCAAAACCTGTCAGTACTTAGCCATTATTCACAGTATCATGCAGTATTTATTGTGAGAACATCTAGGGCCTACGGACCTGGGAGCTTGATCCTGGCCTCTTACAGACTGTGTGAGTTTGGATCTGTGACCTCCTCCTGTGCACTTTCCAAAGGGAAAGGGAAAGTTTGTTTCAATTAGAATGAGTGCAGGAAAATGAAATAAGAATGCATGAAAATGTTTCACATTGATACTGTTTCTTCCACCCTATTTATTCCAGCTTTGCTAGAGAGTAATAGGCCCTTCGTTCCTTGCCATGTAATACATGAACCCTGTGGGTCTCCCTTTAAGGTTAGTCCAGAGCATCAGAATGCATTTGTGTACAATTTTTTCCCTTAAAGTGTTTGTATTCTTTCCTTTTGATCTATGAAATAGTAATTTCTGTAATCCCTAAAGGAACCTGGGGAATAGTAAAAACTGGCAAATCTGATCTCTTCCTCAAGCTTTCCCCTCATCTTAGGAGGTACTAGGAATGTTTATAAGGTTACACACGAGTATGGATAAATTATAACTTTTTGGAGAAACTGAAACAGAATTCAACCTGTCTTTCATGGTGTACAGTTGGAGAACTGATGTTCTTTTCCTTAAAGAGGAGGACCAGGAACCTCTCCATCCCTAGTTCTTTTTGGGTTTTATATAACCTTAAAGTGATTTATTAACTTTCCCAATTCCTCTTAAAAGGGGAACAATAATATTTTGATGCTTTTTCTTGTGTAGTCTATGCCAAGAGCTCTGGTGTTCTGCAGTTATTTAGGCCAAAGGGTGTCTATCAGAGCAAATATTTTTCTGTCTTTCTGCAATCCACTCAACTACTTGTGTTATGCTGCCAAAAGTGTATTCCTCTTTGTTTGATGGTGCTGCCCAAGCAGAGCTCTTAGCTTTCAAATAATCCCATAACGTCAGTAAATTCAGCAGCAGCAGGAAGCCTCGGGCACATAACCATGCACTGGCTGGAGCCAGGCTCAGCAAAAGCATGAATGCAAAACTTGCCAGCATGAATCCACAATTAATGCCTTTCCTCAAAGTAAAACGATGAAGTGAATGTGTATTAGCCTTGGACTACGACACTTTTAAATGCTTTTGCATAAATAGTAGGGGAAAACATCAAGCATGCATCAGTGTGTGCTCCTACAGAAATGGAATAAAGGAGATGATGATTTTTTTACATAACCACTTCATCTGTGATCTCCTAAATCTTGATCCTGAAATTAAGAACTTCACTCTCATAATTACTGGACACTAAATGTTATAGACTCAGTAGAGAGATTGGTTTTATGGCAAATTATGATTTCCATACTTCTCCCACAATGAATAATTACATCTCCGTATCTCCTAGGGGTTAATTACATTATCACCTTTCTTCTTGCCAACACTTCCTTTCTGTTCCACAAGTACCAACCCCTTTATCTCTCAAATTATCTACCTGAATAATGTAAGCTAAATTTGGAACTAACTTTTTCAATCCATATTTAGTTTTTTAAGGTTTTTATCAACATCAGCCCTGAAAAGATTGCATACCTAAACTTTTGTCTGTTTTTCAACCAGTCAAGTGCCGTCTCTCCCTATGAATCGTGTATATAAATACATGTATATGAATACACATATACAGATACAAATCATGTCATTGTTACTTCTCACCAGAGGGGGGAAAAAAACACAATGGTATAAACCCAGAAGAACAAAAATACATAAATAATAACACTTGGTGGTGTTTTGATGAGCATAAAATAAGAGCAATGTCAAACTTCACTGTCATTAAATCAGCAGTAAGACAATTACCTAAGCAGCTCTGATGATTAGGTTGGAAGCGCAGCAGATCTCAGTGTCTAACGCTCCCCTTAACTGGTGTCTCCAGTCAGTTGGTGCCCTGTGGATAAGGATCCTCTTTCCTTCCTTCTTCATACTCATAGATTGGGGATTTATAAGCTTCCGGTAGTAATGGCTCACATCACGGAGTTCTAACACGTCGAACTGACACATGAAGGACATAACGTCTGTCTGCACGTCATGTCGTGTGAATGAACAGCCCTGCACTAATGAATCAATCCAGAATGATGCTCAGCTCCTCCACCGAGCACGTGAGGCTTTCGTTGTGCTGCTGGGAACCACCACGCAGCGAGAGGCAAAGGAGATGGCACTGCCTGCACGGTGGGCTGTGGAGAGGGGAACCAAAACCTCAGAACAGCACAGAATTAATTACTGACACGAGGTCACCAGGTGTGGGATGCTGCAGGCCGTCAAACGGTGACGTGCAGATTTAAAGAATTGCGAGTCAGAAAGGACATTATTGCACGGTGGGATGCTGCAGGCTGTCAAAGGGTGACGTGCAGATTTAAGAATTGCGAGTCAGAAAGGACATTATTGCATCATTTCACCACGCGGTAGCACTGCCACCGTGAAAGATGGTCACCCGGGGCCGGGCAAGGCGCCGCGGTCAGCCCCGTTGGTCCTGCCCCTGCTTCTAGTTGCCAAAAGGTGCTGCAGTGACATCCCAGCTGCAGCGTCCTTTAATTTTCTGTGTCAGCTTCAAGATCAGAGAATATTAAGCACATCTTGGTTCACTAAAAATGTTTAAAAAGCATTCCTCAGAGCACTATATGTAACAAAGGAATAATAAGATAAAAAGGAATAATAAGATAAAACATTGTTTTATCTTTTTCCTCTCCCAGGCTCTTTCCCCTCTTCTTGCAGCACACGTAAAATTTGGCCTGGTGGGGAAGGGGTCTGAATGGACAGCCTAAAATTTTACCAAGTTCCAAACACGAGGCCAACCATGAAGTCAATAGGAGCCCTTAAAGAACAGAGCAGAGATTGTCTGGGAGCTTTGGGAAAAACTTTCTTCCACCAAAGTCATGGGTGAAATTGCTTCTATATTAACAAAGCTGCATCAGACTTAGAGAGACTGCACAAGTCATCTACAAAACACAGTGCCATTTCTACAGCCAAACATGTTGTAACGTGGTGAAATGTGACTGGACTGATGGAAAACTGAATGTCCTTTGGCAAGTCATTTCCAGGGAATATGACCTTGTGGATGTAAGACAATATTAAAAGATTCTTTAGCAATGTCCATCAGTGTAAGTTACCAGCAAGATATACTGCAGATGGCACTCAGCTTAGGAGTGTCCTCAATGTAATTTTCTCCACTTTCCCCACACTACTTGAGACACAGTCTTAGAGGAACAGTCCTTGGCAGGAGAATTTGGTCTGTGCTATCTGCATTGGTCGGAGTTTGCCTCACAGTATTGATATCCCTCTCTTCCTGACAAAGCATAATTCAGTCACTTCAGACATGATCTATTTTAATGCAGTACAAGTGTCCTATTATCCTCTGCTATTAGGCTGGTTTATTTGTCGTCTGTTTATATCGTTTAATTATTTATGCTATCGAATGCATTTTGCTTAGAGATGTATGCTAATGGAGGTACAGCACTTGTACCTTTCTCTAACCATGAAAATCAATCCACAAGATAGGAGGATGAGTCTGCACTTCTTAGGACTTGAAAGTACTTCTGTTTTTCAGCCATCTCCCTTCTCCCTTCTTTGCTGCATGGATCTGGATCAAGAGAAAATGTCAGAGAATCAAGTATTCTTGGCAACTCCTGTCTGTTCTGACAGCCTCTAACTTGTGCCACAACTGGTAAGGCAAAGCCAGTGATAAAACCGATGCAGTATCACCATTGCATGGCCCTTTTCTGCAGTGCACCATCCTCATGTACAACTGAAAGGTTTTTGCAGCATTCTACTAGACTAAGG